CTCTTGGAATTCCCCTACTCCTGCCTCCTCCCTCTGGGCCACAAACTTGCTTTAACTGGAACCATCTTTTCATTTCTTGTCTTCCCAGAAAACTCTTACACAGCCTCAAGACCCAGGCGAGCTATCATCTCTGGGCTTCTTTGGTGACATCCGCAATTATAATTAGACACATCCTTCCTGGGTTCTCAAGCTTGTAGAGATTCTGCCATGGCGCTCAGCACTTCTGTGCACTCTTAATAGCTTAGAAATCCTTTCATCTTGGCACCTGCCCATGTTCCTACAACAGCTACAGGACAGTCAACCCGACAGTCTCAGGACTGTTGGTAGCTGTCTGGAGATCTCCCCGAGTGCCATACTCAAGACTGTCGGTAGCTGTTTGGAGATCTCACCGGGTGCCAGATGCTGTGCTAAGGCTGATGTGTGACCTTCACTGCTTCCTCATGAGGGCTGCGTTTTACAGATGAGGGCACACACCAGCGCTCAGATTCACTGCACCCTCAAAATAGGGTTTTTCTATTAAGCTCCCGCATTTCTCCCCATGAACCCTCAGAAAAAAATGAGATCTAGTTATACCGTTTGTGTACCCAGGTGCTGGCAGTGTGCCTGATACCCACTGGGCACTTAAATGCCACATGAAATAAAAGAGAATCCCACAGCTGGGATGGGGCACTATTCGTTAAATCATTTCCTTGTGTTGCTGTATTTCCGGGTATCTTTCTCTTTCTTGGACTGGATTCCTTTCTGTGGGTCAGTTCCTGGGAGTGGAACGACTGGAACCGAGGATGTGGCGCTTCCTCGCTCCGCCACGTCATCTTCCGCCTTGCAGAGCCACCAGCAGCGAAAGAGCGAAGCGTTCCCGGCAGCCTTGCAAGCCGAGTTCTCACCTTGTCCTTGACGTGGCTGTCAAGCAGGTGCCTTGGAGCGCCCGCAGCGGGCGCAGTGCCGAGTGCCGGGTCCTTCGGAGCCTGCGCGGGGCCATCGGCGGCCAGCGAGCCGCGCCCGCCCTCCAGCTCCCGTCGCAGCCCCGCTCCCTCCCCCGGCTGCCCCGTTGGCAGCGGGGCTCGGCTGGGGGCGGGGACCAGACCCAGCATCCTTGCTCCGCCACTCCGCTGCTCCGCTTCCTTTTTTGGAGGGACCAGCGGGTGGGGAGCAAGATTGGAGGAGATGACCCAGGGAGGAGAATATAGGGCGCCGGGAGTCTAGGAGATGGGGCATATGTGTCCCTCAGGGGGTAGGCGTGTGTGTGTGTGTGTGTGTGTGTGTGTGTGTGTGGCCTGAGCTGGGGGGAGGGGGGTGTGTGTGTGTGTGTGTGTGTGTGTGTGTGTATGTGTGTGTGTGTGTCTTCAAGTCCCCCTTCTGCGTGGCTCCAGGGTTGGATCACTGGTAGAATTCTGCCTGCTGCCTCCAAATCCTTAGCTCACCTCTAAATCCTTAGCTCACCTCGGGAGGGGTAGCTCACCTCGGGAGGGGATAGACTTGGAATCCCTGCTGGCAGGGTTATCCTGTGGCCTGACTGTGAGGGACAGCAGGCACAAGGACTCCCTCTCCCAGTCTTTCCCTTTGTATTTCCCTTTCCTCTCCTCTTCTCTGGGTATTTCTCCTCCGATGTAAATCCGAAAAGCCACATACAGTCACAAGGGCAGGGATACCTAGATGTGACCAGCAAATCCCTAGTGAAGCTCAGACCTAACTAGTTTAACTCAAAGGCACCTGATTAAGAGTGTTCTAACTAGTACACAGTAATTTTTATCATATAATTTAGAATTGTCAGATAAAATCCAGGATGCCCAGTTAAATCTGAATTTCAGACATGCAATGAGTAATATTTCACTATAAGTTTATCCGTTGCAATGTTTGATGCAAGTATGTCTGGGATATTGCATGGCAGACAATAAAAAACTATTCATTCATTGGTTAAAATTCAAATTGAGCCAGGTACTCTGTATTTTAATCTGAGAACTCTGTCAAGGCCGCTAACACCTTCTTTCCCTTCTTCTCCAGCCTGTCAACCAGTTTCTTTCTTTCACTTTTAAGTGGAGACTTGGTTTCTCAGAGACAGAAGGTCTTTTAATTTCCCTCTTCCCCTGGGTTTTATTTACTTTAGCTAAGTCACCCTGGGTCTCAATTTCAAAGTCTTTGATGTTACTATTAGGGACTGGGGTTGAGGCAGCATAAGCTTTAGGAAGGTTTCTTCAGGACATTTGAAGGAAATTAAATCTCAGAAAATATGCTTGACTTTCCCCCCTCCTCTCTTTCTAAAAAAGAGCAGGAACAGCTGAGTTAAGGCCACTACCAGCTGCAGCCCCAGCCAGTGCAGGGTTTGTTTCCAGCTGCCTGGGCTCACTTTCTCAGGGTTTCCATCCTCAGCTGAACTTGTGTGAAGAGCCCTGGAACCTGCAGGCTCAGAGGGAGCTTGAGAGATCAGTGGGAGTGGGCTTTCCACACAGAGGTGTGTGTGTGTAATTCTTGTGGGCAGCTTTCACCAGTCTGCACCTCAAGCTGGCCCAGTCTCATCACAATGCGAGCTTACTGAAGATGGGACCACTGGAGTAACAATTAAAAACCAACAACCCCAAACCCTAAAAGTAGGGGGCTAGAGAAATGGCTCATAGGTAAGAGCACTGGCTGTTCTAAGGAGGGACCTGGGTTTGATTCTTGGGACCCACATGGCAGCTAACAACTGTCCAAACTCGAGTTCCAGGGAATCCAATGCCCTCTTCTGGACTCTACAGGCATTGCATACACACGCTATACTTACATACATACAGGCAAAACACTCACACACACAAACAAAACAAAAAGACCCCTAAAACCTCCCAAGATGATTCTAGCTTGAGACTCAGAAAGCCAGAGCAGCGCTTCCTGGTAGCTGCTGAGAGATGATCTGCACCCAGCTCCCTTCCCGTTTCTATGGACACTTCTGGAATGTGGGCCCCCCTGTTCCTTGGTTGTGGAATTCTTCCACAGCAGGACTCGCTCCATTAATTGTCTTCAGTTTTCTTTCCCATTCCTCCTCCTCACTCACTCCTTTCTGATGCTTCCTGGGACAATCTCCACAATCAGGTACTTAGTTTGATGGCTTACTTTCATCCATGCTTTGCTTTATAGTTTATCAATTCTCTATGTAAAGGCACCAGGAATGAGAGAAGACCCCAGTGCCTGGAACTCTGAGGCTTAGACATTGTAAACTGTTGTCTTAAGAGACCTTGTGTCACCACCAGCAGTTTACAAGCACTCTTCTTTGGCTCTACATTGAGCTTAATGGTGCCTATAGTTAGTGTTGTTGAAGAGGATGGAATGAAAGAACAACTGTAGAAAACAGGATTATTGGTCCGCATTTCCACATCCACATAGTAGCATTGATATTATGTGGTTATGCCATCCCAGTACTGCCTGCCTGTAGTCTTAGGTCATGTGATAGCTGTGGCTAACAGGATGTGAGCAGACACAATACCAGTGGAGGCTTGACTTGGACCTGTACTGCAAGACTTGCTTTATACCTCTGCCATTGTGTCTAGGTCATTCCTTGGGTACTTGCTGGTTCTAGGAGAATGGAGGACATTCTTCCTGTTGTCTAGAATGGGCTAGCTGTGAGTTCTAGACCAGCCAGCAAGACGTGAGAGAGAGAGAGAGAGAGAGAGAGAGAGAGAGAGAGAGAGAGAGAGAGAGAGAAAGAAACATTTTGACCCAGAGAGATTGAGACTAGATCCACCTGGCCTGAGTTGTAGCCTTATTCCATCCTATGCAACCCAGCCACCCTGGTCCCTGTAATCAGATGGAAGGACCTTGAGGGTGATGAGGCACTGGGTGTACTTGGTAGCTGCATTATGCGGAGGCCTTGGCTACTTTTGCTGATGGACAGCAGCTCGGAAGATCAGAAGTTGACAGTAAGGTTGCTTCTCTTGGAGAAGCATCTGACACCCTGGAAACACCCTGTTGTAGGTATGGATGTGAGGCCAGGGTGCACCTGCTGAGACTGCCAGAATCTTGTGTCCCAGAACAAAAACAAACAAACAAACAAACAAACAAACAAACAAACAAACAACAATCCAATTGCACCAGGAATACAAGGTAAAGTAGTAGAGATAGAGAGACAATTTATTAAGGAAGAGAAAGATACTCCAGAGAATGAGCTGGGAAAAGAACTGCTCAAAAGCACTGGGCCAGGAGTCTCATGCTCCTTTATAAATCATTTACATAGCACCTGCCTTCTCCCACGTTTGTATATCACTGGGCTTTTTTCACCCAGGCTCTGTTTATTGCTTGTAGCCAGGTGGGGATAGGTTTCTAGTCTTTTTCTGGCAATAGACTTCTTTCGTATGTTAATCTTGATACTTCTCTCTTCAAACCCTTACCCAGCTGTTACTGAGTTTCCCGTTCCCAACGTCCGCCAGACACGCTGCACTAGTGCCTGTGTCCTCTGTACTTCCCCTCTTATCTTGAGTTCTGTGAATTTTCAGAAGCCACATGTAAGCCTGGGAGTCCTGGCAAGTGTCAGGATGCTTCTGGTAGCAAGCAGCAGAAACTTGATTTAGTTTGTGGCTGTCCGCTCCCTTCAATTCTCTCATCGGCTTGCTTCTGGTTTTCCTGGGGTTCCAAGCCTGTACACCCTCTAGACTGTATCTGTTCTTAGATTCTGGATAACTGGATCCCTCTGGACCACTACCTGTGGCGTTCCATGAAAATTCATTCACTGCATAACTTCAGTCTGGGTTATTTGTAGCGTTACTGGGGCATGTGGGCTAGAATTTACTGGGTCAGGCTAATCATCGTATCTGCCAAGTAGTGGAGGAGGGGGTGAAGAGATTTTTGTGAGCAGTTCCATGTCTATGGAGGTGGGACTGTTATGTAGAGAATGGGTCAGGTAAGAGAGCAGAGAGCCCACAGGAGGGATCCAGGCACCCTATGCTGATTCTGAGGCATGTCTTTTTACAGCTCACGTCCTCTGAGGTACTTAACCATGTCAGTCCCTGGCAGAATTGTCCTTTCTCTGCTGTAGCAATTGTCCCCTGTCTTTGGCTGAGTTCCAGAATGGATACTGGAATGAGGATTCGTGTGCTTGTAATTTATCAAGGAAGTGCTCCCATGGGAAACAAAGGAAGCAGTTCAGAGTAGCAAGAAAGCCAAGCTAAGGGTGATCTCAGACAAAGTCAGCAGAGGATGAATTCTGCATAGCACTGGGAGGTGTGAGGCATCTATGCAAAGAAGCTGCACGTTCAAACCCTTGCCAATCACTAACTGACTGGGGCTATCAGGCCAGGGGGAAGAAGGTAAGTTCCAGGCATCTTGTGCTCACTGTATTAGTTACTTTTCTTGTTGGTATGACCAAATATCTGACCAGAAGCAACCTAAGGGAATTTATTTTGGTTCACAGTTCAGAGGAAGACAGCACATCATGGTTGGGTGGTGGGACCTGCTTGGTCAGTGGTGCCAACCAGGGAGCAGAGGAAGGGATGGACTGCGAGGACTCCATTAACTTCATCCCTGTTCCCGTTTTACCCTAACCCATGGGATGGTGCTGTCCGATTCAGGACATATCTTTCTCAGTTAAACTTCTCTGGAAACATACTTACAGACATACCCCAATATGTCCCTCATTAATTCCTCACTGTTTATCCAGGCAGGTTGGCAGTTGAAATTGACCATGACGCTGTCCCCTCCATACAAGGTGACTCCAGCAGTCCTAGGAAGGTCCTCTGAAGAAACACTCTGGGCACACACTGTAGGAAGAAAAGCACTTCAGACCTGGGAGGAGCCAGGAACTCATCAAAGGCATAGAGGGACCCAAGGTATGGAATGGGGTGCCAGTCCCCATGTCAGCTCTCCCTTATGAGGCAAAGGACTCAGGCTGACCCTCAGGCCTGGTTTCATCACAGATGCCTTCTGTTGGCCAGTACTGAGCTGTCTGCTCAGTGCTTTCACACTTCTGAATCGGTTGCCAGCATTTCAATCTCAGGTGGTTTTTACATAATAATTCAGTTCTCTGGCTCCTCTGGAAAAACTAGATTAGTTATCCAAGATTTGTCTGTCCCATGGTAGATACCATAGAGTTGGGCCAACCTGAGCAAGCTTCACTGGGGAGCCTCATGCTACAGACCCCACTACTCTCCTGCCCCAAATAAGTGGGCCATGATTTCTCTTGTAGGAGAGCAAAAAGGAAAGAGACTATGTTTTCCTGTATCTCCAAGGTGAAAGGAAAAATCTGTGCCCAGGGATGCTGATACAGATACCAGATGTATCCTAGTCTAAGGAATACAGCTCAGGGTTCACTTGGTGTTTCTCGTGTCCCCCAGGCCCTTTGGGTATGTGAACCTTCACCAGACTCCAGCTTTTCCACCCTGATCCAGCTGTGGGGCCTCCTTCCTCCATCCCATTTTGTTAAAAGCAGCTGTTTTCCTCCTTCCAGCTTTCCAAGTGCTGATTTCATCTCTTTCCCGACAAAAGTTTAGAGCCAGGAGAGAGATGGTTTGGCAGAAAGTCAGTGTGCTGTGGGAGGAAAAAGACAACGTAGAGAAAGGGGAGGCTGTGTAGGATCTGAACACAAGGACTGGACCCAGGCCCTGAGGACCCCAAGAAGGGATCCAGATAGGGGAGTGGGCACTTGCTCTCAGCAACTTTGCTTAGAGGTGGAGCCCAGAAAGTTCTTTTGCTCAATAGTTTGTCTCTGGTGTAGTCCAAGAAGGATGGAAATGAGTCAGAGGAGGAAAGGAAGGGGAGAGATAGGGACCCCTCCACCAAAACCCTGGGCAACAAACAACTCTACTCCTCCATTCCCCACAGCTCTGGTCCAGCAGCAGATTTTGAACACATATGTTGGTTATGCTGGGATAAAAGGAGACCGAGAAATAATGGGATGGTTAAGGGATGGCCAAGCCCAGACAACTGGTCCACAGGCACATCAGACCTAGAAGGATGGACCAGCTCCTGAGGAGCCCAGTGAGGTCTGTTCCCCTGCTAGTGTGTCCGGCTTCCTGGGAGTCTCATGTTGCCCTTCCCCCCAGCCACAGCAGCTCTTTAGTTCTTCTCATCCAAGTCCCTCTCTCCTCCCAACCCAGCTGAGCCAACATCTTTGACTGAGCCCTGGAAAAATTCCTTTCCCCTTAGCTTTGCCAAAAAGGAAAAAAAGTTGAAAATTTCCAAAAGGAACATGTAACTAAGGCACAAAAGGGGAACCTAGACACAGAGACATGGTGAGTTTACAGAGCACACAAGGCTGTGCCAACCTGACCTAATGTCTCAGGGAAGGCCTGCTGGGCCACGCACAGAAGGGGGGTTGGCTGCTTGGAATTCCTCAAGGAAGCGGGCCTGGAGGTGGCTGGGCTGAGGTGGGTGGGTTTGCTTCCACCCTGGTGGGGACCTCAATACCTCAGTCTCTTAGGCTTTGAACCGGTTTGGGGGGAGGGCCTCTCCATACCCTAACCCTGCTCAGGTCCAAGCTGGGAGCCCTAAGCAGACCTGGGGCTCCTTAAGTCTTGTGGTCCTGCCCCCTTTCCTGAGAAAGGCTCTGAAATTTCTTCACCTTCTCCCAGATGTTGCTGGCTCCTGGCTCAGGATGGCTCTCTGCCCCACACCCCACACCCTCTGTCTCTCTGCCTGATCAGGTTCCCAGAGTCCATTCACTGGGTTCAGACTGGCTCTGCCCTAGAGCAGCCAAACTCCTGCCTGGCTGCTCTGCCTTTTAGAGTCCAGGCTATAGCACTTTTAGACTTTCTTTGTTTCTGACTTGAGGGACTGAACATATTCTTGGGGAAGTCATGGATGACCTACCCAACTGTAATCCTATAAAATATTATTGTTATTATTATTATTTCCCTGTAGCCCCAGCTGGCCTGGAACTCACTCTGTAGACCAGGCTGACCTCAAAGTCACAGAGATAAGCCTGTCTTTGCCTCTCGAGTTCTGGGATTAAAGGCATGCGCCACCACGCCCGGTTTATAATTTTGTTTTTTTTTTTGTCTTTTTGAGACAGGGCCTCCCTGTAGCCCCAGCTGTCCTGGAACTCACTATGTAGACCAGGCTGGCCTTGAACTCACAGAGATCTGCCTGCCTCTGCCTCCAGAGTGCTGGGATTAAAGACGTGTGCCACCACGCCTGGCATAAAATATTTTTTTAAAAAGAAGTAACACATGGAGCTGGTGAGATGCTCGTTGGACAAAGACATTTGCTCCCCAAGCCTAAGGACCTGAGCTCCATTTTTGAAAGGAGAGAGAGAACTGACTCCTGCAAGTTGCCTCTGACCACCATGTGGCACACATGTACACACAATAAGTAATAAATAAATGAAAAAATAATTTTGAAAAACAAGCAATACACATGTGTGTTAATGTAATCAAAGACAAAATGCAAGAGGCCCCACCCCCCTCCCCAGAAGCAGCTACCACCTTGTGCATCTTCCAGGGCCATATTATACAGTCATATAGGTATTTAATAAAATATACATAGTTATTCATTGGTATCCATGGGGTACTGCTTCCCAGGACCTCCTCCAGATAGTAAAATCCGGAGATTCTCAAGTCTTTTATATAAAAGAAGCGACAATATTAGCATATCACCTGTGCACATCGCCCTGTACACTTTAAATCACCTCTAGATTATTTATAATGCCCAATACAATGTAAATGCTATGTAAATAGTTGTCACACTGTATTGTTTAGGGCATAATGGCCAAATGTCTGCACATGCTCAGTACAGACAAAATTTCTTTCTGAACATTTCAGTTGGTTGAATCCACAGATGCAGAACTGACAGATTAGAAGAGCTTGCTGTATTCCATGCTTTCCTAATGCTTTTGTGGCTACAGTTTTAATTTTAAGTTCTGATCCATTTGGAATTTATCTTCATGTAAGGAGGAAGGTAGGGATCCAGCTTTAACTTTTCCCACATGATCACCCTGTTGTTGTTGAACTGGGATCTTTTGATGAAGGCAGCTTTTCTCCCTTGATTTAAATCATAAAACTGATGCTCCTGAAAGGCTGCTTTGACATGTGTCAGCAGGGAGGCAAGAAGAAGGAGGGCTGCATGACACTGATGCTGCCCTGGCCTCACAGTCTTGGCTCTGTCTTCTCGAACAGTTTGGGTTACAGGTTTGCAAACTTGCTAGTTAATGCAAAGCCAGGCAGTTGAGGAGACCTTCTCTTTTTGGAGGGCAGCTTAGTGACTGGTTTTTCTTTTTCCTTATCCACACAGTTTAACTACAGAATCTTCCTGACCCCTGCTCTGCTCTCCTTCATATAAGGCACTCTGAGAAGTGTCATTTTCTCCAGTTTTTCCCTTCTGTCCAGAGCTGTGTGCGTTTCTACTTGTTGAGTACCTGCTTGGGTCTCATCTCTTTGTTATAAGAGACTCTGTCTTGTTTAGCAATCAGAGCACATTTTTTTTTTCCAGTGGATACTCCTACCCCATTATAGGCATGAAGAAAGCTAAGCTTCATTTAAGAAAACCATGATTAAGCCACTTGCCCAACATCTCATTTTGATAAGATCAATGCAGGTCAGTAATAGACCCAGTTCTGGCTCCACAACTTGAACTGTTGCCTCCCCAGGAGGCTGTCATCAGAAACCAGCAGGCTGCATGACTCACAGGTGCTCCACCAGTGCCAGGAGAGGTCCAGGTGTCCCCGAGAGAGTGGGCTCAAGGTCAAGGGCACTGTCTTCAGCATCCCCATCCTCTGCACCTCATTGAATCTCAGGATCCACCAGGGAACCCATTGCTGTGCTATGCCTTGGGAGGCAGGTTCTTCACAATCAACAGAATTTCATTTCCTGCTTGGCCTTTGTCATCCCTGTGGCTCCTTTGGGTACTGTCACAGACTCTTTTCCAGAGATACATTCCACACTTGATGCTGGACACCCATGCCTTGTCCTGAGTTGTTTTTCATTATCTCCAGTTTTCATAGGAGCATACGAGTGGCCTGTCTAAGCCCGCCTTTCCTGATGAAACTGACCGCCACCAACATGTGATATGCACAGCATCCCTGGGATGCCTCTTGCTGGCCTAGCCCCCACCTGCCTGTCCTGTTTCTACAGCACTGGGACTGCCCATTATTCCACTCACTTTAAAGGCCACCTGGATAATTGTTTTCTTTTTCTAAATCTGAGCGTATTCAAAGAGAAATGGCTTTGGCTTGGCATGTGAAAAAGGTCAGGACATTACACTGCTGGAGATGTTTGTGGCTTAAAAAGAATCAGGAGTTCTTTACAGAGGTAGCTGCCCTGGCCTGGAGCAGGGAAGCCTCTCCCCCATTCCTGGGTTAAAAGGAAATGGTTTCAGTTCATCCTGTCACCCTCAGGGGTGTCAGATCAACTGAACACCAGGCTAAAAAAGAAAGATTCACTTTTCATTAAGATATGAATGACAGTGGTCCTGGCATCTGCCAATACTCAAGATTCTTTTTTCCATCCATAAGCAAATGTTTAAAAAGTATTTTTTATTCTTTTTTTTTTATTAAACTTTTTGTGTATTTCATACAGAACATCTCGAACAATCTTAATCATCAACACCAGGCTAAAAAAGAAAGATTCCCTTTTCATTAAGATATGAATGACAGTGGTCCTGGCATCTGCCAATACTCAAGATTCTTTTTTCCATCCATAAGCAAATGTTTAAAAAGTATTTTTTATTCTTTTTTTTTTTTTTATTAAACTTTTTGTGTATTTCATACAGAACATCTCGAACAATCTTAATCATCTGTATTCCCCCTGTCCCTACTGGCACCCTCCCATAGTCC